TTGTATGACGTTTTGATAAAGAAGTTGGTTTATACATTTATCAGGACTTTTATTCAAGAATTAATATTCATGTATTTTTCGTCTTGCGTTTCTACACTATGAACATCTGTCTACGCTATATATACTTAATGTACGTAATAAAGTTATATATACTCTGTCCTTACTGACATTTCCCCAGAGCTCTATGATTATTTTCTCATTGACCAGAATGATTCAGATCTCTTTGTATGGATTTAACCAAGGAAGGGAAAGTGTGGGGTTTTTTTTTTTTTAAATCATTTTCAAAACAATCTGTTACTTGACTCAGAAGTTATAAACATGTGGTAAATCAAAGAAATTCTGTCTATGGTCCGGTAAACAGTCAGAAATCAAACACAAAGACAGATCAATTAAAAACAAACAAATCTCCAAAACTTAAGTTTTTTTCTGAAAAGGAGTGGGGTTCTTTGTTCAAATCAATGCACTGAGGTTTGAACCATTTTTACCTTCTAGGCTAAATGCAACATAAATCTGCAAATGTGCCCTAGTTTTACCACAAATTGCTTATCCTGCCCCTCCTCCTTCAAAAGAAAAGAATAAAACAACTTATTTTTTCTTTCTTTCTACAATTTCATAACCTTTACAACTTCAACTGAAGATACCATAATGGAGACATGATAACTGCATGACATATGACAAGTAATTTTACATTTGAATTAAAGTCTACTAGGCAAATCAAAATGAGGTAACAAAGAAAAGCAAGGGTAAAGCACACAATTCAGTTATAGCCACTTCAGAAACTCCAATTACAGACAAAAGTGGTTTTGTTATTAAGAAAGGTCCTAAGAACCACTCATGGTAACAACTGTAAAATGGAAAACAGCAAAGTCATTAGAGAAGACTGCTCTATTCAGAGAAGTCTGTGACAGAAATATGTGACACTACATGTATAATGGCACCAGATGATCTCAAGTGCCATCTTTTAGCATTTAAAGAAATTCTCTAATTTCCTAAATGGAGCATTCTTTTTAATTCACTTAGACTCCAGAAAAAGATCTCATATTGGCCTGGAACCCAAACCTTCCACTCAATGTTTGACTTGTTCTTTGTCTACGTACCAACAGACTAACAGACAAGCCCTGAGTGAGAATTGTTGTCCCCTGTAGGAGGTGACAATATTTCACAACAACTCATTCAATTGTTTATCCTTCTAGTTATGAATAAGTAAGCAAGCAATACCTGACTCAGAGTTTGTGAGGAAAACTGACCACAATGTTACAGTCAGTAAGGAGATCAGTAAGTGGTCAAGTGGACACTTTACGTCCCACACTTCCTCCACTGTTAATTTGTGATGTACTCTATATAATCCCCCCCCCCCTTACACACACTTCTGCTGATGACTTCTGTGTACCTGAGAAGTCCCATATACATGTCAGGCCACAATGGACCTCAGTGACCAGTCCAGTGGTCTGCACCATCTCTCACCTGGCTCCCGTTACCTGTACGTACCTGTGTCTATGTAACAATTAGCAGCTGGTGACAATCTGTCTGCTCACAAGATTTTGGGTCAAAATTTTCATATTCATTCATATTCATTACCTTTGTTTTTCCAATTTGTATGCTTAAATTTACATTTCAATTTGACATTAAGTATCTTAAATTCTAGATTAATTGGATTTGCTTAACATTCAGAGTGTGGTCATTTGTTTGTGATTCTTAGATTGACAAAGACTAGTTTCTAAATCAAATAAGTGAATTATTTTAAAAAATATCCAAAGCAATTAGTCACGTTTCAAATAAAAAGCTCATGCATGCTGAATAATTTAAAACCAGTTTTTTCTCTTTTACCCTTTAGCTCTCTTTTTCTAAAAACTCAATTTTTCTTTTAATTTTTATGCCCTCGTAATAAAAGATTCAGGGGTAAATAGCTTTCGTCCTGTCCTTCCGTCTGTCTCAGTTTGTCCTAAAAACTTTACCTTTTTAGTGGGTGGGACATTGACTTTCATATTTCACAGGTGTATTCCTAGTGACAAGACATTTCTTAGAGTACCACCAAATTTGACCTCCTGACCTTGATCTTGGAGTTTGAACCACATTTACCAAAAGTTTTAAAACTTTTACATTCCCTATAATTTTTGAACAGCTGGTGCTATGGTTTTCATACTTCACATGAGTATTCTGACAAGACCTTTCAAAGGGTATAAATATTTTCTGACCTTTTGACCTTGACCTTAGAGTCTGCCCCACTTTAAGGACATATGTAACGTACCTTACCTACTGATAATTTTTAAAGATATTCTTAATTTAAGATTATAGTGTCATCAGATGTTCATAGACAAAAAATCAGCATACATTAATTGATGAAACTTTTTGGATAATTCAAAGAAAAATATATAAAAAATACTAAACATATATTCCAGATGTTTCTTTTATCCAGTATAGAAGAAGTGTACAACACCATACACGTAGAAGTTAAAATATAACACACAGTTCCTTCAAGAATTGGAACTCTTCAACTCCATGGAAAAGGACAAAAAATTCAAACTACGTTGCGTATGACCTTAAAACAAATTTAACTAACCCATGGAATAAAATAAGATCAATAGAGTACATTTTATAATAGACTGTAGGTTATCTCCAGTAGAAAAATATACTTGACGAGATGTTTAACAACAACAATCAAGAAGCCTCCTAATAAAAACTACGAACAATGACATCATTATTATGACTTCCTCTGAAAACTTATATCATATTTCAGTAAAACCTCTTGAAAAAACAGTATCACTTACACCCTATATATTCAAACCCTGTCAATTAAATGACTTGCAAACCAAACACAGCTTTGTCAAAAAGAATTCTGCCACAAGTTTAAACTTATATTCATGATTTTAAATAAAATCATATTAAAAAAAAAAAAACCCATCTGTGTCCATGCCTTAAGTGATGTTTACATTTTAACGTCCCAATCTGTTTCCAATTCAATATACAGGAGTCAAAAAAGAGATATGATTCATGGAGATATCGGCTATCAGACATATTGCATGCCTTGGGTCAATAACTCTATCCAAGCCTTAACTTGGGTTAACTTTACCTTCCCGTTGTCTCCATGTTCCGTGTTCCGCTGCATTGTCTGCCGATTCATGCGGTGTCAAAACCTGACTGCATGCAGTCCCGATTACATCTCTGTTGTGTTTACCCACTCAAATTCTCCCTAATATCCTCACGTACCCCTAAATACCGCCACCTTACCTTTTGTTTGGGTGTACTTTGTGTTAATTATTGTGAAACCTAAACTGCTATACTATTTAGCTGTGATGGGGACACCCACATATACTTAAATTCTTAAACAACAAAAGATTTTGTTGGAGTAGCAAATAAAAATCATGATCTAGCCCTGCAAACAAGCGACTGTGAGTCATGAAAATCAGCGAGACATTACACCATTGCTACTGCTTCTTCTGTCGGCATCGCAATGATAACGTCAAAGAAAAATTTTACACAGAGTGACTTCCCTTTACCAAAATTACAAGAAAATTCCTTGTAATATGGTAGCTTCTGATCAGAAAACTATACTGTTGGCTAAAGCCAAGGAGGGGGAAAACAGTCAAAAGTTCTGATAATCTGATTAAACATGACATGTACAATTGTAGTTTGATAGTGAACACAGCTGCCCCACCTAACATATATATTCCACTTATATCTAGCAAGATGCAAATTCTGTAGCAAAAAAAGCACTCCTGCACTGTTATATGTCAAGAAAACAAGAAATGGAATTTAAAATGAATGCATTAATATCCTTGTAGGTGAGGGAGTGCTTTGTACAATTTCCAATGAGTCATGGCAGTTAATTCTACACTCTAAAAATGTTTAATAAAATAAAAACATTATATCAAAATATATACAATAAAGTTTTACAATTTTGATATGAATATTTACTTATAATTAACCCACAAATCTTATTGATTCTTAAAGTTCATCACATTTTATTCCCAAAAATAAATTGTTATAATAATTTTTATTTATATTACCAGGTATTTGATTAAAGTCCAATTTATCACAAATATATCCACATTTTTTTTTATAATTTTTAAAATTTTTTAGCTGTTAAAAATGTTTGATTTTGAGTTATCACATTTGAAATGCATTCACTTTGCAATTCCTAGCTCATAAAAACATTTCAAACGTTAAACCAAAGAAATAACTTGAAACATGTATTTTGGAAAAATGAAAAATGCTAAAATGAATCTCTAATTCATGGAAAATACCAAGTTTTCTAAACCCTTTGTCAACTCAGACATTTGCTTATGTAAGGGGAGTAGCTGACTATTTACCTTGAGTTTAAAATCTTATTTTTGTCAGCAGGAAAAAGAAAACAGTCAAACAGCTATCAAATTTGGTTAAATCCCATGTTTATTTGCAATGAGCTTTCATGTGGGAAAATTTTCTTATGAAATTAAAAACCATTCCCATGACATATTTTAATGAGCAAAACATATTTTCATGACCTTTGAAATGGCTATGACATATATTGCCAAAATTTGGAAGATTTTATTATTTTCAAAAAATAAAAGTATTTTGAAAATGATGCTCAGAATTCTGACAACAGAAGGCATTAGCTGCTTATAGGAATGATATGGAGAAATCATGCTGCCTCAGATACGCATTTGATTTAGAGGCCATTATTAAACAGAGTGTCTTCATACCAATAAAGTGCAAACACACAACATAAAACAACTTGCGAGGTTAGCCTGACAATTTATAAGAAATCAGAGAGGAGACCTCTTATTACACCTGTACCACTGAGTGCCAGCTCTGAATCCATGGACAGACTTATTGGCTACCAACAGAAATCAAAACGCAAAACAAAAATGAATCAAATAATGTTCCCGGCTGACAGACATGATGTAAACTGAGAGGTCTTGTTCCAGGGAATTCTCTGGAACTTTAGTAAAAGAGTCTATCATATAAAGAATGAGGGAGAATTTTTGTCTTTTGATTCTGTAGAAAGAGTTTATACTCACTGCTTTCTCCTTCTCTGTGCTTAGACCCTCTGTTTGGGTTGTCATAGAGATGGACTCTTGTGGATCAGTCTGGAGGGCCTGCTCCACAGTTATGGACTCTGTTGGGTGAATAGCCTCCTCTGTCTGGGTTGTTAGAGAGATGGATTCCTTTGGGTCAGTTTGACAGGATTCCTCTAGATGTGTGGGTTCTATCGGTTTATTAGTCTCCTCTGTCTGGGTCATTAGAGAGATGGATTCCTGTGGCTCAGTTTGACTAAACTGCTCTAGATTTGTGGGTTCTATCGGTTTATTAGCCTCCTCAGTCTGGGTCATTAGAGAGGCGGTTTCCTTTGGCTCAGTCTGACTGGACTGCTCTAGATTTGTGGGTCCTATCGGTTTATTAGTCTCCTCTGTCTGGGTCATTAGAGAGGTGGATTCCTGTGGCTCAGTTTGACTAAACTGCTCTAGATTTGTGGGCTCTGTTGGTTGATTAGCCTCCTGCAGGACTTCTTCCTGGTTTGGAGAATCTCCAGCTTTGTTGACTGTTGGGCTTTCTAACGAGGTCTGGACTGAACTTGACTGGCTTTCTGACACGGTCTGGACTGAACTCTCAGTTCTCTCTGGGTGCGAGACAGATGTCTCTTTATCACAGACCTCGGTCTTGTTCTCTAAGCTGTCTGTATCTGTTTCCTTGTGTTCACGCTCCACCCTGTTGTCTGCAGTCTGAGTGTGTACTGATCCTACACTCTGGGTATTGGTTTCACTGCTCTGGTCTTGCGATTCCTTTGGGATGGTTTGTGTCGACGCAGCCTCCATCACTTTGTCTACAGTTTGTACAGACTGATCATTGTCATTTGATTTTTTGTCTATTTCTGTATTTTCCTTGCTCTCAGTTTCAGCATTATCTTCTGCTACCTTAGTGATGGTTTCTTCTAATAGCTGAATATCACTGCCAGCAGCACTCTCTGATATGTTTTCTGTTTTGTCACACTCTTTTAGACTCTCTAGATCAGTATTTGTCTCTGGTTTATTCTCAGCCGGAGTCTCTGTTTGGACATTTTCATCACACGCGCCTTTATCTCCTTGGTCTCCCGGCCCCTGATCATCACCTGTGTTTACCTGGTTACATTCTACAGTGTGGTCCCCCTCCTCCATCTCTCTGCTGATATCCCTTTTATTTTCAGATTCCAATATCATGTTTTCTTCAATTTCAGTTTCCTTTTTAGATTCTGTTATTGATCCCTGTAAGCCTTGTGTACTTTCAGTGTCATTGTTTATGTCTTTATTGTTGTCAGAGTCTGGGGATGATGGCTGGTACATACTGCTGTCTAGAGAGTCTGAGATTTCACCGGCTGTTGCAGATGGCTCCTCTATTTCAGAACTGTCAATACCAGAACCATTCACACCATTCTCCTTCATGTCTGATTGTTTGACATCACTTTCATCATTTTCCGAGTTTATTTCAGTTTCAGAATCTTTGGATATTTCTGTCTGTTCTATTTCTTCATTTTCTGGCTTATCATTTTCATTTTCATCAGGGCCACCACTCTCTGTTGCAGCCAAACTTAAATCACTCTCTCCTTCATCCTTCACTGAATCACTGACGAGTTTGTCTTCACATTTTTCATCTGTAATATCATCTAACATTTCTGTTGTGTCTACATCACTATTCTGTTGTAAACACCCATTCCTACCTTCACTGTCTATGGAGTCTGCGGCTCTTCCTGTCTCTTCTGAGCTATAGCTGCTGTCTTTTGTGGTTTCCATGTCTACGTTTTGTTTGCATTCGTCTGTCAGTTCATTCCTGTTTAAAGTCACATCACTGTCTTCCTCCTCCTCTTGTAAGGTTTTAACATCGACTTGACATTTACCATTTTCACTTGGGGTTTCCAGATCACCAGTTTTGTTTGCACTTTCTTCATTAAGTTCTTCAATGTCTTTCTCTGCCTTCTCTAAGCAGGTGTCGGTTTCTTCACATTTAAATTGAGATGGATGTTCATTGTCGCTTTCACTGTTGTCCTTCTTTACACCAGTTGTTGTCCCTGGAGAGTCTGTTGTCTGGTTTTTGTTGTTCATTGTATCTTTTTCTTTGATCTCTTCACTATGGATATCTCTTTGATCACAGCTGCCTTTGTTCTCTTTGTTTTCACTTTTATTTATTCCAGAATCTTTGCTTCTTTCTTGGTTTTCACATTCAATATCCGAGTCTTCAGAGATATGAAGTTCACAGTTTTCTTCTGTCAGACAGAGCTCCACTTCACTGTTTTCGTGGCTCAAGTGAGAATCATCACATAGTTTTGGATTTTCACTTTCTGATATGTTTCTATTGACAAATGACATGGTATTTCCATTACAATGTTTGGATAAATTTTCATTAACGTCAACATCATTGGCTAATTTTTCCTTGTCAACAGTTTTTTCCTCCTTGTTACTTTCACTGTTAGATTCCATCTTGTCCACAATTTGCATTATCTAGACCTACAATTATAAAACATAATGCATTTAGGATTGAATTAATGCACCACCCAACTTATCCTTTTTCTATAAATGAGGTTTGTTTGCTTTTGTTTGTGCGCCAAACCTCCGAGTTCAGACTTCCAATGGTTAATACTGATTATACATAGTCATAAAATAATATACTTATTAGTTCAGATAATTACCACATCATTTTATTACTTGTATGAACATAACGGTAAATAAATGGCCTGGTAATGTCCACATAGTGTATACGTCCAACAAGTTGTGCCCTCAGATCTCGTAAAAAATGATGTACAACTCTATATCTCACAAGCCATCAACATCTAAGGCCCTAACAAGATTTAGGATCTCCGGAATTATCAAAAACAGAGTCACTGAACCCCAGATACACAAATCCGTCCAGCAAAAAACACTGCGACCTGGGACTTCTAACTATAGCCCTCTCTCACCCGACTAGACACAATTCTAAGACTAATGGATAGTCACACACTATAATTAACATTCCTTGTATTTAACGATCAACCCAGAATTCAACACCTTGCTTTCTTGTCATTGTGCGTATGTACCCTTCCATTTCTATTGTCAGATAGTTAACTTGTACCCACAAGGTAAAAACTACTTCATGAATACACATTAGGGCAGGTGTTACATGTAAAATCTAGCGTGACTTGGAGATGTAATAAAATGTACAGGCATTCTTATTAGATTTTGTACATGTATTCTGACTTGATTTTGTCCTCATTAATTTCTAGTTTTTAAACAAGAAAGACATCTAAGCCACACATGGCCATAAATCAATGAATGTCATTCTGTTCTGTGAGTGACTTGGGCTTTCAGAGGAAATGAAATTTGAAACAGAGATATTTGGGTTTTCTGTTTTGATCTGTGCAATAATTAATGTCTAACACGAAGACCAAAGCACCACCAAGTAGAACGAAGTACAATGCCATTTTTTTTATTGAAAAACAAGTATCTCCTTTCATTAAGAATTGTCTCTGTTTTTTGTACAATTTCCTGCACTATTTGGGGCTGCCATTCACGGCCTGGGCCTAAGACAGAGAGAACACGGCTTTAGTACATTTCGGTGTGTGTCAAGCTCTTACTTTACATCGTATTTTTAGATCTCACTAAAACGAAATGTGCGTGTCCTCAAAGTATTCATGCATATGGCTTGAGGGCAAAACATAAATGTAAAACAGAATAGCTCGCACCATTGCAAGTGGAATATTATTACTGCATTAATTAAAGTTTTATTCATGAATATGTGCATTAAAAAAAGATGTACATTACAGAGAAGATATTAACTTCAGACTTAACAACTGTAATAAATTTCACCCAAAATTCAAATAGCAAAAAAAAACTTTCCCCCTAATTAAATCAAATAAATAAACCACTAGGAAAAAAATGCACCTTTCAAAAATGGTTGTGTTTACAAATTAAAATGGTACATACCGACATTGAATTTAAACCCACATACAGAACTTCCTTCTATACAGAAATTTCCATCAAATGTAACCAAATGTGTGTTTACATCCTATTTATAATGAAATCAGAATTTTAGGAAATCAACCATATCAAACCTGACGGCTCAAAACAAAGGAGACAAGTGCTACTCTTCTAATGCAATAATGAGTCATTCTTCCAAAATACTTCAAATTCATTTTTCAAAAGGAATGATGCATTTGTGTGCATGAGGAATTCTAAGATAATGTCAGATAAACTATTAACTTTTCAGAAAAAAAAGTTTGTGTAGGTCATTGTACATGTATTTACCTCATTATGCTGAAAGAGACTGAAAACAAAATTACAATCCTTAGAAATCAATGTTCTCCAGTCAGTATGTACACTTAGCTATTCCACACTTTTATGTCCCCAGTGTATTGACAATATTTATCCGATTCCTGAACTCCTAATAAAGTCACTGATAGTTATCGCACTAAATAAAAGTCACTTCCCAAAATTTTCGACAATCACATAAAATAAAAACTCCAATCTCCAATACATCGCGAAACACTGAACCTTGTCAGTAGAAATAGCTAGGCCTGGCAGACTTACCTGGGCCCCGAAATACACTGTTGTTAAACTCTTCAAGTGAATCATTATTTTCCAAACACCTGAGGGCAAATTTTAACAGCATAACAGTTTTAACAGTAAACTTTTAAAATGTTCTAATTTGGCCAAGGGATCTGGATCCATTGAAGTGTTCGTCAGATTAGGGCTTGTTACATCAGTCGTCGTGTAACGGTCTGGGATGACCAATAGCTACCACCAGTACTTATGCTATAACCCTATGTTCTGTGTATGTATGTAAATCGTGATAGACACTTGAGATCCTAAGTTGTGTGTATGCCTTCACTGACGTCAGTTAAAACTGGCAGATTCAATTTTGTATGTAAATTTTCTTGACTACACACCATGTCTTAACTAAATTTTATTTTATAAAAAACAAAAAATCAAATGACAAAATGAAAATAAAAAATGACAAACTTAAGACCTCCATGTTATAGAAGTTATATCTTATAATTGTGTGTGTGTGTGTCTATTTTCTGCATGTGTGCACATATTTTATCAGAATTCTTAAATTAACTTCATTTCTTTCAAAAGTAAGTTAAAAAAAACTTTAAATAAATACTTCTGGCATGATGGCAAGAGAAATGTCATATAGATCTAGCCAAGTGTCAGATCCCACAAAGAAGACGTTATCATTTAACCTCGGCAGAGTCTAATCCTTATTTTCTACCAGACCGTGTAATTCATCAAATTCAAAGACAGGTAACATGTCTGTTATCTTAATCAGTTATTGACACTTAAACTCCGCTCACATCTACCTTTTTTTTTCTGGTATCAACCCCAGCTAACAATACACAGTAATGATACAGTAGTATAATTAGCAAAGCTTCTTTGATACAAACGCAGTACTTACCGATTCATTGTCTAGACTGTGGTCGTTTCTAAAGTTTACAAAGGCTAGCAGTTGCAGGGCATTTATGGAATTCATGAATAAAATGAGTTATTTTATCTTATCTTTTGTGTTTGATCGACAGTTTGTCTTCCAGTAACGTGTATGGAGACTTTACGTGAACCCTCCTGACATTTGGCGGCAAAATGAAAATAGCCAAGTTCCCTAACTTGTTCATTTATTCCGCTTAAGCAAATTGGAGTTACCTTTCTTCTTGCATATACACTGTGCACAGCGAGGGACCATAACGCTACAGATCCCGTAATGCAAAAAAGGTACAATTTACGGCGCAATATTTTTTGCGCACTTCTGGGAAGAATTTCTCCACTTTCTCAGGTCTAGGCGGCCTCTGTTTTTGGAGGATAGTTTTTATCCCCTAAAACAGAGGATAGAGGTGTCGCCACCTACCGGACTTTTCAAAACAAAGGGCAGTCTACGCTGATTTTTCAACCAAAACAAATAAAATGTTAATGGTTAAATCTAGGTATTTTAAAGTTTGCAACGGGAATCAGAGGGCGGAGCTACATTCCGTTTTGTAGTAGCCTTATATACTGTTGTATTAGCCAACTAAAATACAGCACGGTCAAAATATGAATCTGATTCAATTTATCAAAAGCACGTACAAATATTAATTAAATGCTGATTTTTTTCCCTATTATAAATTTTTAAGAAATATTTTCCAAGCAATGTATAATGTCAAAATTTCTCAATCATTTTTTTTTATTATTCCTAACAGAATCTACACATTATATTTCGATCCAAACGATAACGAAAATTCAAAGTTACGGAAAAAATCGTATGTTGGATAATTTCCTGCAAACATTTTTGCTTTCCCTGCTTTTATTGTGTCCCTTTCAAATAAAAGTAAAGTCAATGGGTTCACGGATGCAGCATGTACATTAGGTGAAATCCGCACCCCTTCAATTTTCCTCTCTTCTCGTGCAAACTGATTCAAGTACCTTCTTAGCCCCCCCCCCCCCCACTTTTATTTTTAATTCATCTTTTAAAAATCTTTATCTCTGACGACTGTAGTACATACATCTTTTTCTTCGTTTTTAATGTCGCATTTAAATAACACAATAAAAATCTGTGATATCAAAGCCCATCAAAGAACTGTCTGTATCTGTATCTAATTAAACTGAGATTTTAAGACCCCTGAAATAAATTTCAAATCTACAACACGGTTAAACCGTCATCTCTATCAGTTAAGACTGAATAAAATTCAATTACGTCTATCCCGTTGACAAAACTAATCTGACTGAAATTTTTTCCGTGGAAATATATATACTCGGATGCAACTCCCCGTTTTGTTTGGATGCTGCACAGCTATAAAGTTGGCGGTGCTTTTTCTTGATTTGTCTAAATAATACTTATTTTATCTTCAAATTTTTTTATTTGCTAAAATTATCAGGCAGAGTGTACTTTTTCTTTACAGTACGTTTTCTTTTGTGTTTCCCTTTTCTCTAATTTTGAATTAAATGAAAATAATATCATGTATGTATTGTTTGAGCATTTTAGTGCCTGTTTGTTTGTCTTGGAGGGAAAAGGGTATAGGGAAAAAACATAAAAATTATACAAAATAACAAGAAATATTAAGTAGAAATGAATCGTAAGAAGTGCCAACTTTGAAAGCGTTTTGTTAAAATTCTAGACATAGAATCTGAAATCGCCACATACAATCGATAGTTTAATGTTTGAACTTTTATTTAATTGTACTCTCGTGCTTGCACTTTTTGATTAAAGGTAGGCACGAAGCGTTTGAAAATTACCAGTGTTATCCTCTTAAAACAGAAGATAAACTATCCGACATTGCATTGCGGTTTCCATATAAGGTAAAAAAATTGGCTGCCATATTGAATTTAGCGATCCTCCAAAAACGGAGGCCGCCCAGACCTGTTTCTAGCATTGGTCAATCTACTACCTTTCACTCCCTAATTCTAGACACATTCTGTCGCCAATGTGTATATTTTATCCACCTCCCAACCATTAATAGTTGTCTCTACAGGCAATAAACTCGGTTGAAGTGAATTTTCAGCAATCTAACAAATAATTTTAATCAAGCGAGTTTATCACTTGTAGAGACGACTATAAAGGGTTGGGAGATGGATGAAATATACATATTAGTTAAATATTGTGCCTAAAATTAGGGAGTGAAAGGTAGTTAATTGACCGATGCTGGAAAGTGGAGAAATTCTCCTCAAAAGTGCGCAAAAAATATTGCGCCGTAAATAGCACCTTCTTTGCATTACGGGATCTGTAGCGTTATGGTCAAAGACAAATACATGTATATAAAACCATACCGCTACAGATCTGCAGCTAATCATAGGCCTAGGCTAATGCAGTTCAAATATACCCAAAGTGTTAAATATTTTAAACTCTAATTCTTAGCCATTTTTTTTATTTATTCATATATTAATTCTGTTTCCGTATCTCAGATAGTTAAATGTTTTACTGTAGATAAGTCGTGAGATCACATTCACTAATCTCCCATTCAGGGCCGTAACTACC